GGTCTCGAACCCGCGGGCTCAGGCAATCCACTCACCTCAGCCTCCCAAAGGCGCGGGATTACAGGCTGAGCCATCGGGCCTGGCGGAACACATCTCTTAAATGTTTATAATTTTAGCATTTACATTCTAGTTTTTCAACACATTTTCAGTAAGACAATTGCTAACCTCTATAGTATCACAATAAAAACAACTGAAGCCTTAGTTTACTAGGTGGAAAAATTGTTATTTTTGAATTCATATAGCATCAATATTTGATTATTTGCTGAATGACAATTTTATTTGTGATTTTAACTGATTCCTTACTGCTTCTCGCTCAGTAAAAGACCTGACCACAATGCAAGATTCACATCACTGAGACAACATGAAAATTCCCACTCATTTCTTACTAGTTTTGAGAGACACATGTTTTGGCTTATCCCTATAAAATATTCAGGGATGCTAATTGGGAAAATAGATAACAAGAACATTCCAAATTTGTACACTTTGGCTTTACTGATGTATGATTATTATCAGTTATACTATCACTATGTAGCATCATGTTTTGCAGATTTTGGAAGTTTTTTAGATTCGAGATTAAGAGAGCAGGTGAATCATAAAGAGAAAAAAACAATCTTCATTCTTATCAGTTCGAGGTTCTGGCTGATATGAAGCTGACCTCAAAAGAAGACAAACAAGCTTTCTGGTGGACACAATCCCACAGACCCATCTTCAGTGCAGACTCAAATGCCAGAATGACCCCGAATCAGAATTGATCTGGTATCTTGCTGGCTAGTTCTCAGGGTACATTTCCAATGGGACCTGTCTGAGACCAAAACAGTGTCTAGCTATCAGCAGATTCAGTGAAGGATCATCTACAGAGCTCCTAATATCTGTCAGACCCTGTGCAGGCTTTGGGGAAATGTAAAGGAGTAAGAGCCCGATTTCAAGAAATTCTCGGTCTCATTAAAGTAAGTTGACATTCTGCTGAACCTACATCTTACCACTTTCTGCCATTTATTTATGCAAAGTCTAGAACTCTTTTTCTGTTTCATGTTTTATAATATGGTGTATAGTGATTGTGATCAAACCTTCTACTTGCCGCATATAACACTTTTCACTGGCAAATAAAACCTTTCATTAAAATATTACTATGGTACTTTATTTTATAGTCTGGAGACAAATCTAGTCATAGACCACACAGCTCAAGAAGCAGTTTTAAATTATTATTACTCTAAGTAAAAATTTCCATTCTAAGTCCCCAGCTTTTTCCTGTTAGCTTAGAAGCCATTAGCCACTCCAACTCTCCCTTCTTCAATCTTCTCACTCTTCACAACCCAATTCCCACCAAAGTTTATATTCTTTGAAACCTCTTTATGTTTCAAATTCATCACTCTTTGAACTGAATGACCTTGGAAATCTTCTGCCTATAAAAACACCTACAAAGCTAAACTAATATATCATTCACTTGCGAAATATTTGGTAGCCCTGGAATTCCAATATGCCATAAACATCAATATTGTTGCTACGATTGCCACCAAAATTTTTTTTTTTTGCTGTTGTTGTTGTTTTTTTGAGTTGGAGTCTCACTCCGTCGCCCAGACTGGAGTGCAGTGACCGCTCCCGGCCACCGCAGCCTCGACCTGCTGGGCTCCGGCGATCCTTCCGCCTCAGCCTTCCGAGTAGCTGGAATTACAGGCCTGCGCTACCATGCCCGGCTGATTTTTTTGATTTTTATTGTAGAGATGAGGTCTCGCCAAGTTGCCCAGGCGGGTCTCGAACCCGCGGGCTCAGGCAATCCACTCACCTCAGCCTCCCAAAGCGCTGGAGATTACAGGCTGAGCCACCGAGCCCAGCTGATTGTCACCAAAATTATTAGGATGACACAAAAAGTGCCATATATTACAGCGCTAATGATTCCAGAACCATTTCTAATAATCAATTATCCTTTTGGACTTAACGTGAAAACAGATAAAATTTGCTTAGTAAGATAAATCATCTGTTGTTTATCATGCAAGAGTTTATACATACCCGGCTAGAGACAGACATAAGAAAAAAACCCAAATTTAATTCCTTATGCCTTCCTTCCATTTCTTTCCTTTATCTGGATCCATGAGCAACAAACATAACCCCAACCACAATCGTAGGCTTCCAATCTGCCACCTCTGGCTCTCGCTAAGACCCTCGGAGGGTACAGAACTTACTGGCTGCTGAGGCAGCGTCTCAGGGAGTAGGAGGCCCCTCCTCCACACGTTCGTGAGCACTCGCTCCACGGGCCCCAGGCATCCCACAGGCCGTCCCTGTCCTCCTCGGAGCGTGCTGTCCTGGAGCTCTGTGAGAAAGGAGACAAGGGTCATCAGCACATCCCCATCGAACCCTGACACGAGTCCTGAAGTGACCAGGTCTCAATGTTGCACTTCATAGTCCTAATGGAGAAGAGATCAAGATAAAATCGGTGCTATCGTTAAGAGAACAGACTCTGGAGTTAGAAAGTAACTGGGTTTGGGTACACATTCTGTTTTTTTTACTATGAGTCCTTGAACATGTAACTTACTACCTTCCTTATGTCCCAGTTTCCCTTTCTATAAAATGGGGATATTACAACCATGCCACTACACACACGCACACGTACACACACATACAAACTATAGGAGGATTGATTTAGCCCCAAACTAGTGCCAGACTAATTATTTTTTTTTATTTTGCAGTAATGGGGTCCTTTATAAATCAGTTGCTATCAGGGCCTCAGTTATTAAACTGACTATTCCTTCGAACTTTTGAAACTTAAACAAATGGAGTTAGAAACCCGGCTCAGAATCTTATACAAATAATTTTCTAACTCATAGATGCTACATTTAGATTCCTAAGTCATTTGAAAGGGGAAACAGGACAGCATAGTGATTTTTATTTTTGAGTTGGAGTCTTACTTTGTCACCCAAACTGGAGTGCAGTGGCTGTTCCCAGCCACCACAGCCTCAACCTGCTGGGCTCCGGTGATCCTTCCGCCTCAGCCTTCTAAGTAGCTGGAACTACAGGCGCGTGCTACCATGCCCAGTAGTATTTTTGATTTATTGTAGAGACGAGGTCTCGCTAAGTTGCCCAGGTGGGTCTTGAACCCGCAGGCTCAGGCAATCCACTCACCTCGGCCTCCCAAAGTACTGGGATTACAGGCTGGGCCACCGAGCCCAGCCAGCATAGTGATTAAAAGCAGGAGTTGTGGGCCTACGTAGCCTGGGATAGAATACTGGCTTCAGAGCTTCTTAACCGTGTAACCTGGACACATACATAAGCTCCTTATGCTTCAGTTGTCTCATCATAAAATGGGAGAAAGTGAAAATTCCTATGTCAATAAATCACTGTGAAGACTGCAAGAATTAATATATACATAAAGCACACAAAGTGGAAATTAATGTTCATGGGTGGATAAATAGACAAACAAAATGTGGTACATATATACAATGAATTATTATTCAGCCTTAAAAAGGAAGAACATTTCAACACATGCTACAACATGGATGAACTTTGAAGACATTACACTAAGTGAAATGAGTCAGACACAAAAGAACAAATATTGCACGGTTCCACTTATATGAGTTACCTAGCATAGTCATAGTCATAGACATAGAAAATAGAATAGTGGTTACCAGGGGCCTGGGGGAGGCAAATGGGAAGTTGTTTAATGGACACACCATTTCAGTTATGGAAGATGAAACGAGTTCTGGAAATGGTTGGTAATGAAGGTCACACAAAAATGTGAACGTACTTAATGTCACTGAAGTATAAGGTTAAAAATGATGAAATTTTGTGTTAAGTACATTTCATCAGAAAAATAAACATACATACACTTTTTTTTTAAAGTGAGAAAGCAGGATTTATTGAGAGGACAGAAAAGCTCCCACAGTTGGAGGGGACCCGAAGGGGTTGTCCCACATACACTTTTTTAAAAAGCACAATGGGCCTAAAAAACAATCCTCACTATACTGTATACACATTTGTGCCGTTGCCATTATTATTATTATTATTATTATTATTATTATTATCATCATAGTTGGGGTCTGTCACCCAGGCTGGAAGTGCAGTGGCACAATCATGGCTTACCGCAGCCTCAACCTCCTGGGTTCAGGTGATCCTCCCACCTCAGCCTCCTGAGTGGCTGGGACTACAGGTGCACATCGCCATGTCCGGCTAATTGTTTGAAGTTGTGGGTTTTTAAAAATTTTTCGGTAGAGACAAGGTCATGCTGTGTTGCCCAGGCTGCTTCAATCATCTGCCCACCTTGGCCTCCCGAAGTTATAGGATGACTGGCATGAGACACTGTACTTGTTAAGTATCACTTCCCTGAAATCCCTGACTTTTCGACGGTAGTACCTTACAATCACCTGCCATATTGGATCTGTCTGGTGGTGAAATCGGCCAGAAGTTTTAGGTTTCTATAAAATGGGGTATGACATGGGGAACAGAACCACATTGGTAACCCCACAGTCTGTACTTTTTTTTTTTTTTTTTTTTGAGTTGGCGTCTCACTCAGTTGCCCAGACTGGAGTGCAGTGGCCGCTCCCGGCCACCACAGCCTTCAACCTACTGGGCGCCGGCGATCCTTCCGCCTCAGCCTTCCGAGTAACTGGAACTACAGGCGCGCACTACCATGCCTGGCTAATTTTTCTTTTATTTATTGTAGAGATGAGGTCTCGTCAAGTTGCCCAGGCGGGTCTCGAACCCACGGGCTCAGGTAATCCACTCACCTCAGCCTCCCAAAGGCACCGGATTACAGGCTGAGCCACCGAGTCCAGCTCAGTCTGTACTTTCTAAAGGAAGTACTTATTGAGCTCCAAAGCCTGGTTTTTGAGATTAATAAAACCAATCTTTAACCACTGCAATATGAGGTACACTATATTCAGAACTTACACAGTGAGAGAGAACGACTCATTGCCACTGAAGTACACATAGCCTGGTCGTTTCTCCATAGTCCACTAAATTCATCCCTCAGATTTTTAAAAGTTTACTCTGGGGCCGGGTGCAGTGGCTTAGCCTGTAATCCTAGTACTTTGGGAGGCCGAGGTGAGAGGATTGCCTGACCCCGAGGTTTCGAGACCAGCCTGGGCAACTTGGTGAGCCCTTGTCTCTACAATAAATCACAAAAACTAGCCAGGTGTGGTGGCATCCGTCTGCAGTTCCAGCTACTTGGAAGGCTGAGGTGGAAGGATCGCCTAAGCCCAGCAGGTGGAGGCTGCGGTGACTGTGAGTGTGCCACTCACTCTAGCCTGGGTGACAGAGTGAAACTCCTAATCAAAAAAAAAAAAAGAAGTTTACTATGCATCACCTCATTCTTTTTTTGTTTACTTTGTGTGAGTGGAAGATAGGACTTCTGAGAGCGGTGCGGTCTTTTCCTGATGCAGTTTCTATTTGTGACAAATATACATGTGTACAATGCAATTTCTCACATTTTATTCAAATTCAGTCTGACTGTGATGAAAACCAGTCTCACAAATGCTAGGATTCGTGCAGTAACTGAAATTGTGAAATGAGCGATTACAAACTTTGATGCTATCCAATTACTACAACTGCAAAAAAAAAAAAAAAAAAAAAAAACCTGCACGCAGTATTCACATGTGAGCTGCATTTCCGTGTGAGATAAAAACACCAGAATGCTAAATCCTTAGGGGGTTTCCCTCTGGCTGCTCTCTGGGTAAGATAATTAGGAAATAATGTATGGTTGTGATTTTGTTTTTCTAGAAAAACAAATTGTTTCAAACTCTGTGCTAAAGTTGCTTGATATCTTTCATATGCCCTGTCTAAAGAGGCACTAAAAAGCCTCAATGGTGAGGTTTCACTGCTAAGCCCCTTACCTCATTACAAGTTGCACATTTCAGCACAACTATGCATATTGCATGCCCATGTTGTCTCTGAAAGAGACCTCACGCTAACCCAAGAACAAGTCATGGGTCTATTTCTCAAAGCCAAACAAACTCCAAGTTGTCTTTTAACAAGTAGAATAAACATAATGCATTTCAACTGAATCCATGTTTAATGTTGGACAAAGTGATTTTTCTCCTTTTTAACTGTGCCAGACTTTTACATCTATAACCAGAAATGACACTTTAGCAAGCCCTTCAGATCATTTAAAATCTAGAGGTATCTGCTTGTTGCAGTTTTTAAGACTTTTCTTCAATAGAAACAACTTTTGTGTCTGGCCCTGGTAGAACACGTTTATTTCTCTCTTTTGAATGTTCAGTCCTTTTGACCTTACAGCTGCGTTCGTTTTCTTTCTTTCTTTCTTTCTTTCTTTCTTTCTTTCTTTCTTTCTTTCTTTCTTTCTTTCTTTCTTTCTTTCTTTCTTTCTTTCTTTCTTTCTTTTTCTTTCTCTCTTTCTCTCTCTCTCTCTCTCTCTCTCTCTCTCTCTCTCTCTCTCTCTCTCTTTCTCTCTCTCTCTCTCTTTCTTT